ACCCCCCTCGTCGCGCTTTGGGGGAGCGTTTTCTCATTCGGCGTTTCGACATTGGGCGGAAGGCGGGAGGAGGGGAAGGGGTCTGGCTCCGGACCTCTGCTCAGTGCGACGGTTTGCGACAGGGCGTCCCGTGGGGGAGGCTCCACCTGCCTGAAAACCGGCCCCAAAAGCAGCCCAGATCCACTCCTTGGGGGGGGGTGCGAGGGCCCGCGCCGATCCGCAAAAAAACAAATAAAACAACGACCGCTTGTGTCTTCACGACGCGAGCACATTTGGGGCCGCTGCCTCCGCTGGCCGTCCTCCGAAAACCCCCGACGCCGTGTTTTTTTCACAACGTCGACCCCCAAAGGTCTGGACCCCTTCCCCGGGACCGGCTTCTCATCCTGAACCGTTTTTCGACGGTCTCGGGGCCCGGAAGAGCCCCCCCGAGGGCGAAAACAGCGAAGCACTTCCCGTCGTGTTTCTTTCACGACGCGAGGGGGGTCTGGGCTCCGATCCTGACCACCACGGCGCCCTCCGGCGGCTCGCCGCGCACCACGCTGGCGGCGGAGCTCCTGGAGAGCCCCTGCAGCTCCTCGCAGGGGGTGCGCCGACGAAGGGGGGGCGGGGCATCGTGGCCCGAAGCACGTGGGCGGCCGGAGAGGGGGGGGGCATCGTCGGCGTCGTCGTCGTCGTCGTCGTCGTCGGTAGAGCACGTCGAGGAAAAGGAAGGGAGGACATGCAATGTGGGAGAGTTCGTGCGTGGCTCTGGCCATGACATCCACGCGCGCACACACACACACACGAACGCACCAGACATTCATACACACACACACGCACACGCACACACGCACGCACTCACACGCACAAGCGAACACACTTACACAGTCACACGTGTTCCTCTAGCGGAGAGGTAGCGGCACCTGCTCGATTACTGAGGCGGGACACGCTTGACTCACAGAGTCGCACACACACACACACACGCAACACACACTGACACATTCACACACACAAGCACGCACACACACGCACGACGCACGCACATTCACACACATGGATACCCCCCCATACACACACACACGCACGCACACACATACACACCGCACACCACCCACAACACACACAACACACAACACACAACACACACAACACACACAACACACAGCACACAGCACACACAACACACACACACACCACGCACACCACACAACACACAACACACAATATACAACACATAACACACCCCACACACCACGCACACCATGCACACCACGCACACCACGCACACCACACACACCACACACACACCACACACACCACACACACCACACACACACACCACACAAACCACACACACACCACACACACCAGACACACCAGACACACCAGACACACACACACACCACACACACCACACACCACACACACACATACCACACGCACCATACACACCACACACACAACACACACCACACACACACACACACACACACACACACCTACACACACACACACACACCACACACACCACATACACACACACACCACACACACCACACACACACACCACACACACACACACCACACACACCATATACACCACACACACACCAGACACACCACACACACACCACACACCACACACACCACACACTACACACACCACACACCACACACCACACCACACACAACACACAGAACACACAACACATACACACCACACACACCACACACACCACACACACCACACACAGACACCACACACACCACTCACACCACACACACACACCACACACACATCTCTCACACACCACACACACCACACACACCACACACACACCACACACACACCACACACACACACCACACACAACCACCACAGACACACAGACACACCGACACACACGCACACACGCACACACGCAAGCAACCACACACGCACTACGAACGCACGCACGCACGCGCGCACGCGCGCACGCGCGCAAGCCCGCCCCGCACGAGCACGCGCACGCGAACGCGCAAACGCACGCGAACGCGCAAGCGTACGCGCTCGCGCACGCGCACGCGCATGCGCACACGCACGCCCACGCCAACGCCCACGCCCACACCCATACGCACGCACGCGCCCACGCGCCCATGCGCACACGCGCGCACGCGCACACGCGCCCACGCGCCCACGCGCCCACGCGCCCACGCGCACACGCGCACACACCCAGGCACCCAGGCACACATAGACACTCAAAGACGCACCGGGACACACATAGACACACAGAGACACACAGCGACACACAAAGACACACAGAGACGAGACACACAGGGACACACACAGAAACACTCACAGAGCCCAACACAGGCACACACACAGACACACAGAGACACACACACAGACACAGACAGACACAGACAGACACAGACAGACAGACACAGGCAGACACACTCAGCTACACACAGACACAAGCACATACACACAAACACACACAGACACACACAGAGACACACAGAGACACGGAGACACAGAGACACGGAGACACAGAGACACAGCGACACAGAGACACAGAGACACATAGACAAAGCGACACAGCGACACAGCGACACAGCGAGGCACAGCGACACAGCGACACACAGAGGCACAGAGACACAAAGACACAGACACAGAGACACAGAGACACAGAGACACAGACACGCAGAGACACAGAGACACAGAGGCACAACAACACAGAGACACAGCGACGAAGAGACACAGAGACAACGCGATCCAGAGACACAGAGACACGGAGACACAGTGACACAGAGACACACAGACACAGCGACACAGCGACACAGAGACACAGGAACACAAGGCCACATAGGCACACAGGCACACAAACACACACCGACACAGAGACACACAGGCACACAGGCACACACACATAGACACACTGACACACAGACACACAGACACAGACACATGCACTGACACAGACACAGGCACAGGCGCCGACACAAACACAGACAGTGACACACACACACACACACACACGCATTCACACGCGCACTCGCACATGCACGCGCGCACGCACGCACACTCGCACGCACGCACGCACGCACGCACACACCCCACACCCCACACCCCACACCCCACACCCCACATCCCACACCCCACACCCCCACCCCCACCCCCACCCCACCCACACACACACACACACACAAATGCACATACACACACACACACCACACACACACGCACACACACACCGCCCCCACCCCACCCTCACCCCCACCCCCACACCCACCCCCACCCCCACACCAACCCCCACCCCCACCCCCCCCCACCCCACCCCACCCCCACCCTTATTTTTTATAATTACAGACCCCCACGTCCCCACCTAGCCGGCCGATAGCAACCCCGCCGTCCGAACTGTCAAAGAACAAGACAAACTCATTTTTTTTTCGCCGAAATATCGTCGAGTTGCGAAGCGTGTGGCAAGAATGGGACGGAATGAACATCGCTTGGGTAACCCCAAGCGGGCGGTCACGTCCTACCCATCAGAAAACAAACGCAGTGAACGCTTTTCTCGTGAACGTGGACTTTCTTGTCGTCGACGCTGCGAAAACTGTAGCACGAATTGGACGCGGCGCACATCGAGCGTGGACGCCTGGCCAACCTTACGCGGGACCGCCCGTCCTACCTGTCAACAAACACAGCAACGTCCACGTTTTCCTTGCCAGCATGCACTTTATCCTCGTCGGCGCTGCGAATCGCGTAGCGGGAATGGGATGCGTGCTCATCAGCATTGACTTTTTTGTCGGCAAGTCAGAATGCCTCAAACAAATGCGATTCGCCGCCGGCGCGCCCGCTGCCGTGTCCGAGCGTCTAGCCGCCCACGGTATAAGATGAACGACAGGCGTCGGACGCGACGCACTTGCTTCTTATGTTGCGGGAGGGCGGGTGGGAGTGGACGGGGCCCTCTGGCTCGTTCGAACTGGCAAACTTGACCCCCGCCCCCACCCCCACCCCGACCCCGACCCCGACCCCCACCCCCACCCACATCCTTGTTCCTTATTCAAATTTATCCCCACCTACCTCGTATTCCGGCCGATAGGGGCCCAATCCGGGACCTCCCATCCGGACTGTACAAAATCATTACACAGTGGCCGTTTCTGCTCTCAACATCGTTTTTCTTGTCGTCGACGATGCGAAAAACGTGGCAGGAATGGGACGCGGCGCGCATCGCGCGCGCCTGTCAATTTGGGCCCGCCCATCCTGACTGTAAAAAATCGATACAACGTCTTCGCTTTTTCATATCAGCATGGCCTGCCTTGTCGCCGACGGTGCGAAATGTGGCAGCAGTGGGACGCGGCGCACATTTGGGACGCGGCGCGCATCGCGCGCGGCCGTCAATCCGGGCCCGCCCATCCTGACTGTAAAAAATCAATACGAAGTCTCCGTTTTTTCCTCTCAGCATGGCCTGCCTTGTCGCTGACGGTGCGAAATATGTGGCAGGAATGGGACGCGGCGCGCATCGCGCGCGGACGTCCATGCGGGCCGCGGGCCCTCCCATCCTGACTGTAAAAAACAATGCAGAATTCCCGTTTTTCCTTTCATCATGGCCTGTCTTGTCGTCGACGATGCGAAATGCGTGGCAGGAAGGGGGCGCGGCGCACATCGCGCGCGGACTTCTGGGGCAACCCCAAGGCGGGAGGGGCCACCTGACTTGTCAGAAGCAATGCCATGCTGATTTTCGCTTGCCCACATAGCTGTGCTTGTCGTCCACCCCGCAAAAATGCATGGCGAGAATTGGGCGCGGCCCCCCCCCCCCCGCTCGAAGTGAATGAAATGACCTTCTCGCGTGGGCGCCGAGCGAATTTTTCTCAAAGTTGCGCTCCCGCTTTGGCTCGGCGCACGTTTTTAGCTCGCCAATTCATTGGGCGCCGGGGCGTTCCAGGAGGCCCTGGGGTGACAAATGCCTGGGAGGTTTTTGCTTGTTCAGGCTCTTGGAGGGCCTCCTGAGTCTCCCCGCGGTTTCTTGGCGCTACGGCCG